CACCTTCTTCATTATTAACAACTAAAGAACACCATCACCTTCATAGCTTCTGTTTACCTTTGCCCCACCGGCTGCTTCACCTACAAACCCCGTCGACAATGGTTGCTACAACAATTTATGATCAACCCATTACCGATGATCCATCACTGTGACAACCCGAAATTTCCATTCTATACAAACAGTATCACTTCAAAAGAAGTTATAACAGTCATAGTCGATTTTCAGACTTTTCATATAAGTTGGAGTAATTTAGGGTTTACACTTCAGTAAATATCAGGAGAGTGGATGCACTACGATTTTGTGCAACACTGTTATTCCAACACCCTGATATATTAGAAATCAATTCCGGAATAAAAATATTTTCTGCCAAAAATATTTCAGGACTATAAATAGATTTCTGAACTAAATTCATTCATTATTCACATTTCCAACTAGAGAAAAGCCATTTTCTCTCTCACGGATCTTCGGGTTTTCATCCCAAATCGTGAGTACACTTCTCTAGTTGTTTTATAATTCTTGTTATATGCTTAATAACATAGATTACATGTCAAATATGTGAGATTTGGGAGTTTACCGCCCAAGAACGTTCTTGAGGAGTAAACTCCAAAACGAAGCTTAAAGGCCATCTAGTCCCATTTCCTTGTTAGGTAACTAGCTTAGGATGATATGTATGTACATTTAAGGCTAGAAAACAATCAAGAACACATAGCTTTAGGAGTTCACGGCCCAAGAAAGTCTTAGGCCGTAAACTCCAAATTCAAGGGACAAAATGTGCCCTAATCACTCCTATGGCTTTAGACTTTAATACCCATTTAATCCTAGCTAATTTATGGACATTTAAATATCAAGAACACCCCTTAAAGGTAGTTTATGGCCAAGGAATTACTCTTGGGCCGTAAACACCAAGTAAGGGCACCAAAGTGTGCCTAGGGTCCCCTTTAGCCTTAAACAAAAGCCTAGAAATTATCCTACTTGTGCAAGGGACTTGAAAGAATTAAAACACCCATCCCTTGAGAGTTTACGGTTGTAAACTCCAAAAGAAATGGTCTTTTGGCCGTAAACTCCTCAAAGGAGTATTGTAACGCCCTAAACTACCCAAAGGATTAAACCACCAAGCAAGGCTTATTCTAGAAATCAAACAACACTTCAAAACACCAAAAACCACCAAGATTGGAGTTCACGGCCGTAAACTCAAGGGTTTACGACCGTAAACTCCTTGTGTGGAGTTTATTGAGTAGTAAACACTTATACAAGGTCCTTGGAAGCTTTAAACCCCTTTAGCCTTGTCCCATAACAACCTAGAAGCAACCCTTAGGACCTATAACACTTATACCAAGTGTTTACATGTTCCTAAGTGTCCCAACTTATTTCATTAAGTTATTATTTGGCTAATTAGTTATATATATATGCTCATTATACGATAACTAGGCTCGTGCATGTGAACAAGTCCCCGTTTGCCACCTAGCACGGTATCCGATACTTCAATCCAATCCACTCACCACAAGTGAGTTCATACCCCTTTAATTAACCTTTGAAATACTTTTAAATGTTTTAAATACTTTATGGGGGGATACAAGTTAAATGCTTATAGTTATTGCATCAATCACATGCGATTAATAACTAGAAAACCAATGATTTTATCACTGTTCAAATTGTTTATCAAACTGTTTTACTTCAAAATGTTTTACAAACTCTTTTACTTATCAAATGCTTTTATTAAACTTTGTTTTACTTCTTATAAATTGCATGCCCATATATGTATAGATATATAAGTAATGTTTAAAGGGCTTAGGAAGGCCATCCGCCCTATTTCCTTTTTCTCGATTTTGATGTGGTCTGGTGGGATTTCGGGTAACCGTCCGAAGGTCGTTTCAATATTAGTTATATATCAAATATACATGTATAGATATAAAAGTACTTCCATATTCATACCTATCAGTACATCATCAGTAAGTTACCATCGGGGTAACATAGGATCATACTACTACAATTTCTAGATAAATGAGTCAGTTCATTCATGAGTCAATACTTATTACTACGAGTACTTATACAACTATACTAGAAAGAGAACATATACAACTATACTAGACAGAGAACATATACAACTATACTAGAGGAAGAACATATACAACTATACTAGAACAGTTCATTACATTACATATACAAGAATACGTTAACAATTGTGATCCACTATATCGGAGCATGCCTTAAATGTCATGGCCCGAGTTGTAGTCAGAATTCTCTTGGAGGGAGAGCGTGAGTTTGCGTATAGATCTATACTGGATTGACTATCCTACACCTTGCTGCTAGCTACAGCCAGACCTGCAGGTCTGCGGGTGCCAAACGTCATTCCGTTATTACGACCATTCATTATGTCGTTGTTACCAGTCGATAGCATGGTGCAATTTATCACATTATACCTTAATATAAATCCGGTTTAAGGTAGTTAGTACAACAGTAGTTATTATAATACAAAACTACAGTACTACAATGAGTTACCCATTACATATTTTAGTGATAACCTCACTTAAACATTAATGTACAAACTATATTTTGTTAAATGATAGTTACATTTGGGAAATTACACACTTTTACAACAAACGGGCATACAAAACAATTAAGCCTTGGTAGAAGGCTACTTTAATAGAAAATATAGGTTTTTCTGAGAGATTCAAACTTGTACAAACACTTACAAACATTTACTTACATTTTACAAACTTACACTTGAGACATGTTCAAACGTTTTTGGATAACAAATACTGATACTAAAATACTTATGAACTCACCAGCTTAATGCTGATAAACTCTTTCAAAATAACTTGTATTCTCAGGTCATCAGTAGACAGGTTCGAGGCCAACTTTTGAGAAGATGGAGCGCATCCAAGACTCATCTTATTATTTTGATTTACATTATTTTTGGTGTCTATAACTGTACAGAACACGCTTGTATTAAAATTATATATTTAATGCAATGGATGATGTTGTTTGCTTATTTACTGTTATACTGTGTTGTGATACTTTACATGACGTCCTCCACCCCAGAACGTTTCCGCCATTCTCGGTTTTGGGGTGTGACAATCACCCTCTTCACCAAAACCCAGTTCCCTGCAGCAAAGGGTACCCCTTTTTTTGAAACTGACTCTCAAACCGACCCTCTTTCCTTCCTCAACCTTCGCTATGATACCAAATGTTGGAAATCAAATACTTATGGATCAAAATACACCCAAATAGAAAATGAAAATTGAAGATTGACACGCTTAGGGTGCGTTTGATTGTAGAAAATTTTCCAGTATTCTAGGAAAATTTTCCAAAAAAAACGGAAATTTTGAAAACGTATTTGGTTCGTTCTTTTTTCCAAAATTTTCCAAGAAAATGAAAATTTTCAGTTTTCCAAATTATATATAAATTAGAAAAATGATTTTTATACTTTTCCAAATTTCTAAGATGAAAAATAAAAACTTTCCCGATTTCAACCAAACACGTTTTCTAAAAATTCCATTGAAAATTAAAAATAAACGTTCAACTTTATTTTCTGAAAACATTTTTTTATAAAATAAAAACAATTTTCCAAAAACAAACGTATGAATAGTTTTGGGGAATTTTCTATTACTTGAAACAACGAAAAGTAGAACTGGTAATGGGAAATATGAAAGCTTCAAAATAGATGGAATAAAAAAAACAACTAATTTCCTAAACAAGTGGGTAAACTTCCATTGCTAACCCACGTACAATTATATGACACTCACTCATATTTTATTCTACACTAATACATAGTCAACAATGACCAAATCAAAATTACCATTAACCAAGCAATGTCATTAATCCTTGACCGACCCGTTACCCATGAACGAAACCCGATTAACCCATCATCCGAGAGTGTTTTATGTAGATAATAATTTGGTTTTAAAACTAGCCGTTTAATTAGGTCTAGAAAAGAGAGCTAGGACTCCAACCCAACACCGTTTCAAATTTTTCGTACCGGTCACAACGGAATCATGTAGTCTGCGGTACTGAAGAGAAGTTAGAGGCCAACCAGCCTCCATTCAGTGCACTCAACCAACTCCACCCAAAGTAATGAAAACAAACCCAAGAAAAAAAAAATCACATTTGGTAAGGAATACTCCATCTGAAACCTTTGCCGCAACAAACAGAATTTTCTCATTAAGTTATAATGCTCAATTTCTTTCCATATGCGATTTGAATATACAAAACACCAACCAACCGTGTGGACTTTGTTTTGTTTGATAATGTACAAGGCTTCATCTTTTGATACAAAGCTTATCTACATCATATCTAATCTAAGCCAAATTATAATAAACGTTTACGTAGGTACATTTAGCATAGACGTTAGAGAGTTCGTATATGGAAATAAATATAAATTTTACCGAAAGAAGAAGCAGTTAGATTAATTAAGACGAAGGATGTAATATCAATATGTTATATGTTTGCGTTTTGACCGAGTGACAATGAGATGGTGATGAAGAAGGTAAAAAAGGGAAACAGCCAAAGAGGAAGGAATCTATGCAGAAAAGGGACTGCAACACCATCACTGTTGGATAGAGATTGATGCTGTGATTTTGGTGCTGTCCCCAGTACTTGACATAACAAACACAAACACACCCCCTCCCTTCGTTTCTTTTTATTCCTTTCTATTATTCTTTCCCTCCTAAACCATCAAGATTCAACCTCTCTTCTGCTAGCTATTCTAAAAAAAAATAAGTTTGTTTTCTTTTTAATTAATAAAAAAACATTAAAATAAAGGAATAATGTCATGTCTATTTTCTACCTCAAGGAACCCGTAATGTACATATAAAAGAGAAATAGAAAAATCAAAAAACCAACACGTCTCCGTCATTACCCACTAATGATAATGATAAAATTAGTATTCGAGTGTGTTGACTTTGATCATGCCCACTATTTTCTGGAATTTACTTAAATGGTAATCAACAAACACTACATTTAATGCACGATGATAAAATGTCTACTAATATACTAGAACATGTTTATGAAAAATAATATTTCTTAAGTTTTCGTCAATTTCAACTAGAGAAAAAAAAACAGTTCGTTGTTAAAAAATCGACAAAAAGAATTACCATAAATTAATCTCATTTCAAAATCCACACATCAAACCTCCAGAGGAAAACGCCCACATGATTGATCCATCATATTTTCTTCTTTTTTCCCCACATCCCCCCAAAAAAATGGAAAAAAGAGAAAGAAGAAAAAATTCAACACAAAACAAAAAAGAATGAGAGAATCAGGAAAAAGAAAAATGAAAATCAATTCATGGCCCTAAGCATTATCATCGGATCGGTCAAAGTGAAGGAGTTGACCACTACATTTGGGGCAATCCTCCACCTGTTTAGGCACCATGAAGTACATGAAACATCCTTTGCATCCGGCAACCACTAATACGTGCCCTCCTATCCTACTTCCGTTTTCATTTCTATTTTCATCTTCATCTTCGTCTTCATCTTCGTCTTCATCTTCATCTTCATCTTCATCTTCATCTTCCTCCTCATCTTCGACTTCTTCTTCTTCTTCTTCTTCTTCTTCTTCTTGGTTTTGATTTTGTTTTCTTGATGATGAAGCTGCCGGAGATGACTCCACCGAAGATCCTCCACTGCCATATGAGCTCTCCTCTTCCTCTTCGTCGCTGTAAAAGTATCCGCTAAATCCGTCATCAACCGTTCTTGGATCCTCTTTTGATTTCATCCCTGTTCTCCAGTTTATGTAGTACACCTCCCCTGTCTGTTTTCCGTCAAACCCCATGGTCATATGACATGTATATCTAAATTAAACTTTTCTACCACGAAAATACTCGCATAATATTTAATTTTATAGCCTTCTTTTTTCTTTTTCTTTTTTCAAGTATTGCAAAAACAAAAACCGGGATGTTAAAGGTAACAACTTTTTCCGAAGAAAGCAACAAAAAGGGACGGAATTTAAGCAAGATCCGTGTTTGAGGTTTTGTTGAGTGTATACATGAACAATAAATAGATAATTCTTTCTATTCATGTCCAAAATTAAAATCTTTTTATCTTAAAGACTGATTTAATGTGGGGCAGACACAGTATTTAGCAATTAAGGAGGTGTATATGTATATAAAGACGAACCTTCAAATCCAGGCATTGCTCCCAATGGTAGGGTAGTGTGATATTAGAATTGAGCTCCAAGGTGGCGTCGGAGGAGTTTGTTGAGCTGTGGCAACGATTATTATGAGACCCTGAAGAGGAGGAGGATGACCTCCCAAACCCCAATCCTTCGTAGCCGTTGATGCTGATGCTGCTCTGGTGGTGGTTTAGCGAGAAGCTTTGAAGAGATCTTTCCAAGGATGCAGTGATCGCCGCCATGTTTGGCGCTGTCATTCTCAATCAATTATACCTTCTCCCCTTACCAAAACAAAAAAACAACAACCCAAGAAAGAGAAACAAATTAACGCTTAATAAACAAAGAAAGAGATCACCAACCAAGACTTGGTGTTAGAGAGAGAGAGAGAGACTTAAGTATGTTAGGATTTGATATGTTTGAGAGAATATGAAAACTTGGACCTTGAACCATAAAAAATAAACCGGATTACAAAAGTGGTCCCTCCATTATCATCAGTTTGTTGTTTTCATCCTTCCGCTTTTCATTTTAAATTAATCACCTTTAAATGGTAGCCTAAGGCCTATGCTCTCTCTCTCTCTCTCTCTCTCTCTCTCTCTCTCTCTCTCTCTCTCTCTCTCTCTCTCTCTCTCTCTCTCTCTCTCTCTCTCTCTATATATATATATATATATATATATATATATATATATATATATATATATATATATATATAAAACATAAATTTTATTAACTTATAATTTATTGTATTATTTATTATTATTATAATTAATTAATTTATATAGCTCTTTTGGAATTGTATTATCTTAATGATATATATCCAAACATGTTTTTATTCTTTAACAATTATAGTTTTGATCTATCATTTTTACTTTATAAAATATATCAATAAATATTTTCTTTCATTCCCCTACATAAATAAAAATTTATAATTTATATATAAAACTAATTAACTTTAAAATTATATTTAATTACAGGTTTACATAGAGACATATGTAAGAAATGAAGTCATTTTACCTAGAGAATATCACACCACCAAATATATTTCATGTCATCTAGGCGTGATCGTCATGCGGGTATGTCGAATTTTTGGTTATTGGTTTGATATTTGTCACTTAAACGAACCGTATTACTTCTGTTGATCTGTTTTTTTGGTTATTTGGGTCCAATTTGAATAAATTTGGTTTCGTTACTCGAATAACACATTAAACATAATTTGATGTATTCGTCTTCTCTTACTTACGTAATCTCATCAACTTGTTAAATATCATCTTAGTTATTATATTTTGGTACCCATTAACTTGGTCAAGCTTTGCACTCACATACATCAAGTCATTTTAATATATCATATATCATATATTAATATAGAGATATACTATACACAGTAAAATATATGTAAATACTTATTTGAGTAAAAGTATTAAACCATCCAAGTCACATGTTTTAATGAATTAATTAATATAATACTATAAAATTTTAAATTAAAAGTAAATATATAAACAATAATCACATTTTAAACATGTAACATATTTATTTAGGTGAAAAATAATTAAGTGCTAGGACTTAATAAAAAATGCTCTAAGAATGAGAAATATTGTCATTCTACTCAATTGGCAGAATTAATAATTAGAATCCTAATTATTATCTTAAAGTAAAAAAAAAATGTAGGTAGAGAAATATATGGTTGAGATGTATTACCATTCTAGATTTTGGTTTCAATTGAGATGTGAAAAACAACTTATGAAAAAACGTAAATAAAATATAAAAACTTCATCAAAAGTGAGAAAAAGATTAATAATAAGAATAAAAAGACTACATATATTAAACCAATAACAAACCATGTAACAAAAGAATCCAAAAAATTTAGTGTCAATATATCCACTGATATTATTTGCAAGGAAAAGAAATTATACATACATAGGTTAAGAGGTATTATGAGAAAAACTTTAAGAGTGTAATGGCAGAAATACCATTAAGTAAATACTAGTTAATAATAAACATTATTTAATCATTTTGTTTTAAAAAAATATCATTAAGTATATATAAGTTACAAAATTTTTGAATGCTTGTTATTAATTATGTGGAAAATAAAACGTTTTGGAGGTTTCAAATGCATATGGTGCAAGAAAAAATGTCTTATTTACAAGTATACTAGGCGAATGTCCGCATGTTTGCACAGAAACACTTATATAGTTGAAATCTTTACAAATATATGTTTTTCTTTTAATACAACAATAACGTTGTTATTAAATTTGATATAATAACCCGTATACTAAATTGATATAATATTTTGATTATTTTGAATTATATGATAATATATACATCTCTTTTAACTGCATAATCTCAATATTTAAATTATTTTTACACGCGAGTTACTCGTGAATAAAATCAAATATAATATATGGTTTAATGTTATTTATAGTTATTGTTATTGTTAATTAATTTTTTAAAATTTATTTTTTTAACGTTTTAATTCTATCATTTTAATTATTTAAAACAGGAAACATTGCTTTTTTGATTTTAAAGGTAACAATATAATTATTTATATAGAGTTATTATTAACTATTATTATTGTAAGTTATTTTAAGCTACTTATCTGAAAAATTTTAACGATTATAAAAATATCTTTAGTAATATTTTAGTTAAATTGAGATTAAAATTTAGTTTTTGAATTTAGCACTGTAATTTAAAAATTTTAACTATTAACAAATTATTCTTTGGATTTTTATAGTGGAACTGAAATTTATATTTAAGTTGACACTATAATGTTATATTTAAATTAACAATTTAAATATTTTGTCAAAACTGTTCAAAAGTTGTAGTTTTAAACTAATAATTGTTACATACAACAATATATTAAATCTAATAAATTAAGTATAATATGTTAAAAGTTAAAAACATAACTTTATAAGTAGAAGTAATGGTATTATTTTATTACTGAAATTTAATTTATTTATGATTACACTTTTGGTTTGATATTTATTTAAACTTATTAACCAACTTATAATCATAATTAGAAAGACACTATAATTTACCACTTTTAACTATTTACAAAATAGTTTTTTTGTTGTTTAAGTTAAACTAAAATTTATATTTAAGTTGACCATATAATGTATATTTAAATCAATAATTTAACTATTTTTGTAACGCCCGTAGATCAGGACTAGTCAATTTAGAGATAATAAGCATCAAAAATAACTTTTTGATAGAAGATTATTTAGGATGAATAATTCTAACTAAGTTGTAGTATATGTTACAAGGTTTTCGTGCATATAAAGAACGCCAAAATCCGAGTTATAACGAAGAAGTTACGACTTGTTAAAGTTTCGCGACAGAAACGGCACAACACTGAATGACGTAAAAAGTGAATTTACGTTAGAGTGATATTTAGTCTTAGTGATCTAAACGAGAATCGAAGATCTCGTTGTTAGTATCAAAGCGATAAAAAGTTAGGTGAGAACGGACTTCAAACGAAGAAGTTATGAATTTATAATGAAAATTTTTGTCCCGGCCTATTAAAAATAAATAATAAAAATAAAGTCAAAACTAGCCGACAGAATCTAAACAAAAGTTGTAGAGCGTAGTCTCACCTTCGCGTGGATATAAAGAACGTCAAAACGGAGTTCGTATGAAGGAGATATGAATTTCCGAAGTTTATTAAATAATTAATAATTAAAATTAATTATTAAACCCCGGCATTATCCGAAGAGGAGTCAGCGGTCCGATCCGAAGTACGCCCCGCGTACAGCGAAGATGTCGACACTCGCACTCGAGGACTTCGGATGACGAATGCAGTGACGATTTCGGACCAATACGCCCCGCGTACTCCGAGGCTCTAGCCTCCTATAAATAGGATGCGAGGGCAGCCGGCTTCTTTGCTATTTTTCTCCATTCTCTCTCCCGTTTTGCATCGTTTTGCGTGCCAGAAATACCCCGAAGCCCCGATAATATTCTCGAGCCCCGAAGCAAGTCCTGAGATCCCGAAGATCCCGAGAAGTGCGGTTCCCGAGCCGAAGCTCTGCCCACGAGAAGTTCGATTTTTGTGGAGATCTTCCAGATCTACCGAAGAATACTACTTCTGCAAGTCGTAGTGCTGTCCGATCATCTTCTGATCAAGTGAGTGTATACTACCTTTCATAAACACGATAATAATACAAGTATGGTTTGAGTGTATTAAGTTTATTGTTGTTTATATGTGTGAGTGTGTAGTTACTTTCTTTTAACACACAAATATGACGTATTTGCTATGGAATATGCGCTATGTGTTTATATGTTATTTGTCTATTTGAGATGGGCATGTAAATTTGGAGTTTTATACATGTGTTAAATGATTTAAACTGTGTAAGTATTTATATCTACAAAATTGTTGGGTAGAACATAGGTAGATGGAATAGTTGGTGACTATGGAGTTAGCGCCTATTGTATAAACCTTGGCGACTATGGAGTTAGCGCACGTTGAGTAAACCTTGGCGACTATGGAGTTAGCGCACGTTGAGTAAACCTTGGCGACTATGGAGTTAGCGCTTGTTGAGTAAGCCTTGGCGACTATGGAGTTAGCGCACGTTAAGTAAACCTTGGCGACTATGGAGTTAGCGCACGTTGAGTAAACTTTGGCGACTATGGAGTTAGCGCTTGTTGAGTAAGCGTTGGCGACTATGGAGTTAGCACTTGTTAAGTGAATCTTGGTGACTATGGAGTTAGCGCCAGATAACTATGGATTTAGTACTTGACAAATAAGCTTTGGCAGCAATGGAATTCGTGCCAAATTCCTTACGCATAAATGAATGAAGGATAGTTGGTTCTTAGAGTAAAACCTTAAGGAGATAATGGGGATGGGTAATTGGGTTGATTGTTTGCTGATTACATATAATAATTATATTATTGTGGGTTGAAAACCCTATATGCTCACCAGGCTCCCAAGCCTGACCCACTCATTTTTCTTTTCATTACAGGTAATGGCACAAGGGTATAAGTTGGTGGACTTGACGAGAGATTTTGGAATATAGATCAGTAGTTGAATAACTATTGTAAGGTCTATTTTATATTGTTTATGCTTTTGGTCTGTATCGAACATGACATCCCAAGGTTTTATTATTTAATGAAAATACATTCTTTTCGAGAAATGTTTTGATAAATGGTTATCATATTTTATTTTGGGAACAAATTCTGCAACTCTTTTAATCAAAAGATTACTCTGATTTTATAAAACAAAGCATAAACAAATCGGTCTTTTCTGGTCGTGAAATTAGGGATGTCACAATTTTATACGCATCGAACAATATATTAAAACTAATAAATTAAGTATAATATGTTTAAAGTTAACAAACATAACTTTAAAAGTAGAAGTAAATATATTATTTTAATATGGAAATTTAGTTTATATATGATTACACTTTAGGTTTGATATTTATTTAACTTTATTAAACAACTTATAATTATTATTAGAAAGAAATTGAAAAGTCATGGGAATTTCAAATGAATGTAGTGAAAGGAAAAATGCATGAGAGTTTCAAATGAATGTGGTGAAAGGAAAAAAAAAACGTTTCCTTTATAAGTATACTAGAT